AAACAATTTGGTGAGGCCCTTGACAGCACATTTTCTAAATGCAGTTCATCTTTTGAATCCTCAGCTGCCGATCCCCAGAATGTTGATTGTGGATCCAAGCAAGATGAAATGGTTGACAACTTCAATCTTTTCTCCATCATGATGTTATCTACTGATCTAGTTTGAGCATTTCTGTTTTCTTGACATTGAGATGTAATCTACATTGAATGTTGATCTTGTGCAGCAAGTGATTCAAGTCCCCTTCATTTCAACAAGCAAAGTTGTGTCACACAGGTTATTGATGAGTCTCTTACCAATTTAATGTCACGTTCTTCTGCATATAATCTACCTTCTTGAACTGAGCATACTGATTGAATAGGTAGGTATGGAGAAAGGATACAACCCAGGAACACACCTTTCCTGATTTTAAACCGTACTGTGTTTTCTTGTTCTGTTTGAACTACAGCTTCTTGATTGTGGTGTTAAGAGTTTATTTTGAAAAATGAGTTCCCTAATCATTGACTTATTTTGCCATGTGTTTGGGCATGCTAGTCTGTTCACAGAGTGATTGGCTAATCTCACCAAAAAGTGAGTTAGCTCTTGCCATAAAATTAAGCAGACTCAACATGAGAATTAAAGAATCTTACCACCAGTGAAAAAGAAGCAAGAGAACACAGTGCATCCTTTGGGGTAAGAAATTCTTACACCTGCTAGACCAGCAGAAGCCAAACTAGCTGCAGTGGAGAACCAGATACCTGACATGAATCTGAGTGCGTCTTGAAATTGTTACACTATTGAACTAGAGCCAAGAGCCTTCTGTCCAAGTTTGTTTGAGGGCTAGGGGAGGTGAGGAGGAGTCATAACTGACAAGACTAATCTATGTAACACAGGCCTAAAAGTGAGTTGCTCAAGGAAGAGGTGCCTATGAGCACGTTTCAAGAACTGCCCTGACTGAGTGATTATATTTAGCTGTCAACATGAATGATAGTCATTTTGGCTCCCCTAATATGATTCTGTATTGTATGTTAGCTATTGCAATGAATCTTGGACTAAGAACAGTAAGATTGGTGTTGGGATTAATAGAAGGGGTTAAAGGAGCATGGGGACATGTCAGACGTGATGGGAATTATGAATGTTAAGATCTTCTCTTCAATTTGTCATTCCACGTATAGTAGATGACGTGATTTTCCCCTTTAAAATGACCTGTATTTGTCCTTAAAAATGTCTGAGATATTAATCTTTATGTATTCTATTTTATTTAAGACAACATCCAATATTTGTAGACTGAGATTTGTATATCCCATGTTCCAGTTGTTAATGGTTGTTCCCAACAATTTCTCCTCATTTAAGTTGTGCCACATCAGCAGCTAAGGTCCTTTACTGCATGAAAACTTTACTCCATCCATACCATTAAATATACACTACTGTGAGGAGTGGTCTATGGGTAAGGAGTTGCATTGCAAAGCCCAAAAGGAGGTTTAAATTTACTAGCAGCTCAGCGGGAAAGGATGAGCAGTCTCCTCTTCTGTGATGTCCAGCCTCTGAAATCTTCTTGGAGAATCAGCTGTGACTTGATTCCAACTTGACAGGACATAACAATTAATTTAAGTAAACATCTCCCTGAGCAGTATCTTTTTTTTTCTCTTTTTCAAAATGAGGGGCAATCCTTACACTATGTACTTTGAATTCACAAGATGCTTGGCTGAAGCGAGATGGCTTCTGTCTTCCCACTGCATTTTACAGCCTGGGAAACTTATGGAGGGTCAGAGCCAATTCTGCGGCAGAGAGTTTGAGGTTGATACCATAAAATATTCTGCAGCTATTCCTAGGGCTTTCAAGGGTCAATTATTTCAGGAGTTGATGGTCAGTCCTGCTTCCTGGTCTGATTTAGTCTGTCCACTTTCCTGACCCTTGTTGGTATTTGAAATATTTAATACCTCCCAGCATTATAGCTCTAAGCATACCAATACAATATGACAAACTGTCTGAGGAAGGTGGTATCTCTCAGTATTCAACTAAAACTCATTGGCATCTGGGATAAATGACTTAGAGTTGACCCTCCAATAGGTTTTCGGGATCTGTAAATCACATGAAAGGAGAATGTTCATCTTTCTCCTTTGGAGCTACTGATGGATTAAAACAGCAAGAGAGGCACTGCCTTGGGATTAATAGTACAACTGCCAGCATAGGAGTATGTCACAAATCTCCCTCACTAGTAAATTGATCTTTCACTTATCGTTGTTGTTGTTGATTGCCTTTCTATAACTGTCGCCATCTATCAAAGTTCATAGAGTTTTCCAGAGACATGTTCTTTAGGAAGTGAATGTTGCTCCTTGAATGTAAAATCTCTATAGTTATTTAGAGATAACTGGAAAATATTTAAGAAATTATTAGTTTCTTATGTAATTAAGAAAATGTAAGATTACCTGAAGTGTCATTTTAAATATATATATATATATATATGTATTACTAATAGTAATAAACTGAGCTACAGTCCAAAAGGCATACAGTTTAAATTCATCAGTTGTTCTTCATGAGAAATATGGGAACTCTATTCTCATGTAATTTAATGTTTCTGAAAACTTGCTGGTGGCCAACTATGAGTTTGTTTCAACTCCACTATGAGTCAGTTCGAACTTAACAGCACAAAATCATCATCATATTATGGTATAGTAGGTTTATTTATTAATTTTATTTATAAGTAGATAAAATTCCAAAATCCTTCTTATTAAGGTATTTAGGATAGCGGTCTTTGCATTTTTTCTGATCTGAGCAACTTATTAAGATTTCTTTAATTTTAATCCTGCTCCCACAGAGGATTCTGCACAGACCTACAAATCATGTCCAGTGAAATTCTTTTCAGCTTATAAAATACTCATTTATCTCCGTGGAAAAAGAATAGCAATAGCATTTTATTTACCTAGAAGGAACTTAATGTCAAGTTAATGTGAATGATATTTTCTAATACTGTTTCCTAGTGTGTGATTGAAGCAAGACCTTCTACTATAAGTTTTGCTCTTATATTTTACAAAAATTAAATAATTTTACTAGTGAATGTGGCTATGTCTGAAGGTATTCTGTGATGTAGTTGATAAGGAATCTCTCTGCAAACACAGATGTGGATGACTCAATTCCAAAAGGCACTTAACAAAAGAAAGAAAAACAATCTCCTCGATTGCAATTTACAGCCTGTGAAAACTCAGTGGAGGATCAGCTTTGATTCAGTTTGACCTGAAGGCAGTGAGTTAAGTAAAAAAAGAATTTAAGATACAAACCAGAATTTTTATGTTTTACTTTATTACAAGGAAGCTCTGGTGGCCTTGGGGTAAGCACTTGCACTGCCAATTCGAAAGCTCATGGTTTGAATCCACCTGCTACTCTGTGGGATAAATATGGACAATCTCCTCCAGTGTGATTTACAGCTTCTGACAACCCAGTGGAATGTCAGCTATGAATGGGTTTCAACTCAATGACACATAACAGAAACAACATAAATATATAAGAGGCAGAAATGCCATTATACTTTTTCATAAGTTATCCAAAGCTATCATACCATAAAAACCTATTCTGCATTTGTAGAAGAACAGAGTTAATAGTTCGTTTATAACTCTTCCCCCTCACTTTTATTTTGACCTTGAACAGTCTCTTGTAGTGACTGATTAATTTACTAAATATAAGTTAAATAATGTTCCTTCAGATTTTCGTGCATTTTGATACGGTCTTGTTGAGATTGCTAAACTCTTTTTTTAACAGAATTTTTGTCTGAAACTTTCAAATAATTTTGAATTCTATGAATTAATGGGTTGAAGATAAAATGAAGATTAGAAGCTAATCAGAAAGTCATTACATATTTTATGGGGCAAATAATGTCAACACAAATTTTTAAAGCTTTAAATTAATTCATATGTTTGAAAGTTAAACACATCCTGAAAAAAAAATGAGAACATGTATCTAATGTTTTCTGGACTGGACTTTCTGGGTTTTTGTATGTCTGTCTTATGCAATATTTCATTTTTCTGTCTCTTCTAAATTAATAATAAAGCTGTGTTTCATTTCAGTCAGACAATTTGAGTCTTCCTGAGTAAACTATTTGTGTAGTGTTTTATGTTTTAGAACGTAAATATTTATAAGCATTCTGTGATATTGGTAGTGTATGTATTGTTATTTACATTTTAGAGCAGGGGAACTTATGCTATGCTGGTGGTAGTAGTGACAGCAATCTAAAACACTATTAACTGTCTATTTAGCAGGGCGCAAATGGTTTTAAGCACATAGCTATTAACTGAAAAGTATAAGGACAAGTCCATCTCATGGCACTTTGGAAGAAAGTCTGAAATTACTGAAAATACGTTACAGATTTTAAAATTTGTTAGCCTTTTTCATTATGATTTGAGTAAAAGTTTACAAAGCTTATTGGGGTGTTTGGTTTGTTTGTTTGTTTTTTTCCACCCAATAAGCTATACATGTCTTGTTCAAGAATGTTAATTACAATGCGCGCAATGTCTAATGCTACATTAATTTCACATTGTCCTTCTCTTTACAATTTCTAACAGGTATTTCTATTAAATTTTGACTCCTCTCCCCTACTCATCACTTGGTAACAATGCTAGATTGATTCGATAGGTAAAATCTTTCTCTAGCTTTTTATAATAATAATAATCTCTTAAAATATTTGTCCCTTTGTGACAGAATTATTGTATTCTAGACTTATGTATGTTTTATAGAGTTCCATGAATTTTTCATTGCTTTTCAGTTTTGCTTGATTGTATGAATGTATAATATTTTGAGATTTTTTAATCATAAACATATTCCTTTGAAAATTCTACCTATATATTGTAAAGATAATGTTACTATGTGATTTTTGTTATGGTATACATGAGAAAATTTAAGCAGTTCTGAATGATAAAGTATTTATTCAAAAGTGTAAATTTATTCTAATCTGGATGGTCAACATAAAGAATAGAAAGTCTTTTCTAAACTAAAGAATACTTTGGAACCTATTTAAGAAAGAGAATGACCAATCCAGGTAGGCAAGACTTGAGTTTATTGATAGGTTTCATAGTTCCCTTTTTGAAAGGACATTTACAAACTTGATTTAAAAAATAAATTCTGAATGACAAATGTTCACTTTTTAATGTCAACATTACAAGAATTCTTTTTCATGATAATTTATCAGTTGAAAATGTTCCAGTGGAATCTGGTATCAATTAATTTAACACTTTATATAAGAAAGAATAAAACACATTTATTTTCAAGTCGTACATATATTATTTAAAATAGATACAAAGTTCAGTTTTTAAATTTAAAAATGCACTCCTGTTTCAAGTTACCTGAAAGAAAACACCTTAGCGGGGCAAAAATTTTGATAGTCTTAAATAAATATGACTTTTAAATAAGCACTGTTAGTAACAGTACACCCAAATGTTACTAAGCAAGTAGGTATATCACATTATGTATAGACTTATTTTGAAAGGAAAGTAATAATATTTGTTGGGCAGGTAAAAGAAAATTGAGACTATTATATGCAATTTATAATCAAATTTTAAAAGTTGATGGATTAAAAATGTAATCTTGTATAAATTCATAAATAATGGTTTAGTTTCTACCTTTAAAATTAATCTGAAGCATAGAAGCACACCAAACACACGGAAATGAGATGGAGAGAAAAAAATTGTACATCTGAGTGTTTGCTTCATGTAGGCATCAATTGTTAAAATAGTTTCTCAAACACACTTCCTGGCCAAAAATATAAACTTACTTGTTTTCTGTATATACAACTATGCTGTGAAATCCTGGATTCTGAGAAAAAATAAAATATTTGAGGTAAAGCATTGAAAAAGATATAAAAATGCATGATATTTTGGGCTGGAATTCAGCAAAAGGTACTGTCAGCAGAGAAGAGTGGATCTGATTGTGCTTCAGAAAATTCTTCCAGGTGTTTTCCCTCTGAGAATTTTGTTGGCGACTTCAAATAACTGAACTCTTTAACATCAATATATACAAAGGCATTTTATTATTAATCAAAGCAAGGGATCTAGAGTCATGAGAAGTTACAAATTTTTTTTTCATAATACACATATTTATTGCCACCATAGTTCTGCAATTGTCATAAAATTAGAGTCAGAGGAAATTCAGAGGCACGTGCAAGTTTTGGAAATGGACCCATAGATAACAGTATAGAACTGTACATAAAATAATTACAATTAATTAAACACACAGTTGTTTTAGCACATCCTTGATGGATGATAATGAGCACCATAACTTTTAGGAATATATATGTTTCTCTCTTTTTTTTTTTCTACAGCACCAAAGAAGTCCAAATAAGGAAAGGAGAGAGGAGAATAGGGAATCAAAAGCAGCCCTGTTTTCCATCTCAGCCACACTATCTTATGCATTTCATAACTATTGTGTGGTTCTGCCCTCACATGGCATTTTTATTCCCTAAATGATACATTTACATGTAACAAGTTGTTTTCTATATCATCCTTATTCAAAACTTGCATGTGGCATAAAATGGGTTGGTGATACCATGATAAATTTCTGTTAGAAATAAATGTCCCTGTCCTTACATCAGCCAAGAAAACAAACAGGACCAACTTCAAATCCAAACTTCTGAATCTGATCACCAAAGTCATTGATCATTACATCAACAATAGGTACTTGATTAATTTTCGGTGTATTGATTTCAATAACAGTCTTTTCATAGCCTTTTCTGGACTGTAAAAATAAGGAGAAAAAAACCAAGTTACATACAAACATTTATTCATTTATTAATACCTGTGATTTTTCATTAAACTTCTTTAATGGACATACAAAGGTGAGAGAAAAGATGGTAAACTAAAAAAATAAATTGCCATTATTTGTTTAGTATTGATACTTCTTGTTATCACCAAGAATTGATCATCATGCATGCTATGTGCACTGCCAAGTAAACGGTTAGTAGTTTGAATCTATCCGGTTTTATTCTCTGTGATACTTAGATATTTGGTATATTTGAAAATAACCTACTGAGTTTATATAGTATGAAACTGATAGGTTTTCACAGTAAACTAGATCAACTCAACAGACTATAATAATAATAAATTAAATTATGCTCTTCCACTAGTGATTCTACTAGTGGCTTAGTAGTAAGAAGTTGCCTGGCCAACCCAAAAGCAGGCAGTTTGAATTCACCAGATTCTCCATGAAAAGACACGAAATCTTTTCCTACGGGATTTTCAGTCTCTGAAAACTTGCTGAAGGTCAGTTCTTACTCAAGGGCACCTAACATCTTCCATAAGTAGTATATCCTTATAATTATTCTTAAAAATACAGTCAAATTTTCTTAATGACAAAATTAGAATACAGTATATTTATTTTATATCTATTCACATATATAATATATCTGATAAAATGTCAAAATATTTGTGCTATTAATTTAGGAATATTTATGATGGTATGGGGATGTAGTGCAAATCCAAAGGCACAGGGTTCAAATCTACCAGCTGCTTTATGGGAGAAGGATGGCCTGTCTTACTGCTCTGAAAACCCACTGGATGGTCAGCTATGAGTCAGTTCTGAATTGATGGCACACAACAACAATGGGAATATATTACTAATGGGAAACCGTTAAAAAACTATTTTCCCTTAATTTTTTTCCTTTCATTTGTACTTCCTTCATCCTTTATCATTCCTTTATCCTTAAGAGGATAAAGGCTATTTGTAATACTTATTGCCATTCAGGCATCAATAAATAGCTAAAGAAATGTTTTGTAGGGGACTCTCTAAATCTTTTGGCACAGATTCTATGTGGCACAAGGTTAGGACAGAGGTCAGGTATGTTGTTCATAGGGTTGCTATGAGTCTTACTTGACTCAAAAGCACTAAACAACAATAAGTAATGCAAATTCTTAAGTGCTGCTTACCTACATTGAACCCTTGCAGTTGGAATTCACCCAAGATGAGTTGGAAGACAGACCTTACAATGTGCATTTAAAATATCTCAAACCTAGAAACTCTATTGATCAATTCCATTCTGCAAAAATGGGATCAAAATAAGGTGGACTGACTCCACAAGTAACATGATAGAACCATTTGGTATATATAACTCTTTTACATATTAAATAGAGTCGCAGTGAATAAAAGTAGCAAAAATTATAATATCCTCCGATTGTTGCATAATAGTACTACTAAATAACAATCTTCCTAACATAAGTGAGAGAATCAATGGCATAACAGTGATTACTTTATCCATCGTCTTAGAAACATAATCCAGGAGACAAATAGAGGAATTTTGTTATTATTTGCTCTCCATTTTGTCTTTTTTTCTTTTATTTTTTACATTTCAAGAATAAATAATTGTAATACCATTCAATTGACAGGAATAATTCCATAAAAGTAATACATGCTCTTAGATATTTACTGGCATGGTTTTAAATGTGTCGATTATGTATTTCAGAATTTGTTGCTGTGTTAAAGAAGTGTGTGTGTGTGTGTGTGTGTGTGTGAGAGAGAGAGAGAGAGAGGGGGAGAGAGAGAGAGAGACGAGAGAGGAGAGAGAGAGAGAGAGAAAGAGGAGAGAGAAAGGAGAGAGAGAACATTACATTGAGTTGGAACTCATTTTTACCATTAGATTGGAAATGATTCATAACTGAGCCTCTAAAGTGTTTTCAGAGACTGTAAACTGCATGGTAGGAGACTGTCCCTCTCTTTCTCATGTAGCTCCTGGTAGATTTAAACTATGACAGAGAAATTACCTTTAGATTAGCAGCAAAACACAGTCCTTATAGACTGTGCCATCGTAGTTCCCTTCTATGAATATTGTCGTTGTTATGGACCATCAAGTCAGAACTGACTTAGAGTTGACCCAGCAGCAATGTAACTGTGCAGGAGGATATTGCCCCTCTTTCTCCTACAGAACAGCTGGTGGATTTTAAACACGTCTTTGGATACGCAGTGCAGCTGTTTCCCACTGTTGTTATTGGTGTTCTCTCTGTGTACCACAGAGTGAGAACTGACCCATAGCTGACACCGTCATGTGGCAGTTAATTGCATGGAAGGAGATTGCATATCCTCCTGTGGGGCAGCTGGTGGCCTTGAACCATGTGCCTTTGGGACTGCGGTGCAGCTTCTTGACACTAGTCCTCCAGAGTTTACCACTAAACCACTATATTCTGTATTTTAATACATCAGTATTAGATAGCAAATCTTAATACAGACTTGCCTTTCATGATAGAAATCTAGTTTCAGACTAACACAAGACAGCTAGCTACATGCTGCTTTGAAAAGGGAAGACCTGCAGAGATTGTACTCACCTCACAGCCATCATACAGTGCTTTGATGTAAGGGTTATTGTCATAGGACATCTCCTCATCATTTGATCCCAGGAATCGAAGTGCTTTGTCATAACTTCCAGATGACACATCATACCAGGCTGCCGACTGATGACAGTGGTAGGTGAAATTTTGTCTAGCAGAGGCAGTCAGCAGTTTCAGGAATGTCATTTGCACCATATTAATGGAATTGCCTTCAACATCTACATATGAAAGCTGAGAACAAAACAACAAAAAGGCATGTAAAGATCTTTTCTCTTTTATCCTGTAGAGTAATAAAATCATTGTTGACAGGGAGCTACATTCCCAGGAGCATGTAGATGAACCAACAGATTCATTTTTACTTAATCAAAGTAAATGCACATAGTTGGAGAGATCTAAGGACATGGTTTCAGGAAATCAGAATTTTATCTCTACTTGAGTTACTTTAGGCATTATTTATCTTTGAAAATGTCAACGTGCCATAGTATCCTAATCAGTGGAAAAATGAAGGGGAATGTGGAAAAGTCTCTTGTTCTCAAATAATGATTGATTAAATTTAAGCATTTTTTTAAAACATGGAGAATCAATGAAAATTTAAAAGTTCAGTGTAATCAAAGGTGGTTTGTTTTAATTGTTTGTTTGATACTACATTTTTTAAAAAATGTAGATATTATCTACCAAATAAAAATCTTTAAAGATATTTCTGAACTCTTCTTTCTGGGGTTGTAGTAAGTTGAATGGTGGCCTCCCTAAACATCATATCTTAGCTCTAATATTGGTAATCTGTGAATGTCACCTTAGCTACATATTTTTGCAGATGTTATTAAGTGTCTTCATAGGAGATGGACAGAGGGAAAAAATGAAAAAGATACAAGAAAACACACACACACATTCAGAAGAAAAGGCATTATGAAGATAGAGTTTAGCTACAAACCAAGGAATGCCAGCAGTCAACCAAAGTTCCAGAGGTAAAGAATAGATTCTACCTTAGACATTCTGGAAGGAGTATGTCAACACCTGTCAACACCTTCATTTTATTTAAGAGAAACTAATTTTGGACTCTGACGTCTAGGACTATGAAATAATACATTTATGTAGTTTGGTCCACAAAGTTGTAGTAATTTGTTACGGTGACTCCTAAGGTCCGTTTGTTCTAAATTTCAGTACAAAGAGTCTTTACTAAGTTCAATGGTTAAGTTTTTGTCTGCTAATCTGAAGGTTGCTGGCATCCTTCTACTCCGGATTCAGTCATCTATTCTGGAAGGAAGACCAAGGTGATCTGCTCTCATAAAGAGTATTGCCTAGAAAACACTATGAGGTAAGTCTCTTGTGGTTAGTATGAATTGAAAAATCATCTTGACTGCAAAAAACAATTTTCAAAACAGACTTTGCTTGCTAACTCTCATCTTATACAATGTGTTTATTAATCATTGTATTATTAGCAAACAACATAACTTCTGAGACAATGCAGGTACATATAGACCTGAACCTTGTTATATAATTATTGTTGTTTCTCTAAATTCATACAGTTTCTAGAGGTATGTTGTTTAGGAAGTGGATGCCACTCCTGCTTCCAGGCCTTTCTTAATCTGTGAGTTCTACCAAACACTGTCCACCATGGTTAACCATTATGGTATTTGACATATCAGTGGCACAGCACTCAGCATCACAGCAACCTCAAGTTACCTCAGTATAGCCAATTGACCAACCGAACATTCTTAGAAGAATGTTCATTCCAAGTACAATTAACACCAGGCCCTTGGACCACAGGCCCTCTGGGCCCAGATGACTTTTAAATACATAGGCCTGCTCACAAGGTCCTGATTGTCTCTAAACAAGAGGCTTCCAGCCCATTGTTAGTCAAATATAGCAAATTTAATCGACTCACACATGGTTGTGGACAAAAAAAACCAACAAAACCAACACCAACCAGCAAACATACACACACAAACACACACACACACACACACACATATATGTAAAATATATGTATATTATTGTAACATAGTCATCATAAATTTTTTTAAAGTTATGAAATAAAACAATTGGGGTCATCAGACGCTATGATCTAGAGTATAAAGGAAAATAATTAGCAGATTAAGACTAAGGCAGTTTTTTGTGACTTTCTCCCATATATATGATTTTATCCTTTTTTAACGAATAATGCAGCTTGAATAATGAAGATACTTAAAATGTTAGAGAAAAAGAAAAACAATCTCTCTGGGAAAGGCACTCCAAGAAAATCAAAGTGAAACTAAACAAAAATTGCTACATAAAACCTCAAATATGTTCTATTTTGGTATGTGTTTTTCTCTCATAAAAGGACAAGATTAATTATTAATAGATAATATGTAATTTAGCATGAATTTCAAAAATACACTCATTTGATAACTTTGCTCTTAATTGCTAACTTGTTTGAGGAGGTTCATAAGGAAACCATAATTGCATAAAGTAATTGTCAACTGAAGTAAAAATTATTTTAAAGGACAAGAATGACTGAATTATCACCTGAGTAAATAGTAAATAGCTCAACTTGAAATATTCTAATTAGTATATTTTACACAAATGGATTTTTAAAGCAGGTTTTGAATATGAATTTGCTTTTTCAACCTAATTGGAAAATACATACATGAAATTAACAGTGAACACTTAAGTGAACTTGGGTTATATAAAAAGAGGGGTATAGTGAAACCACTATATTTCTAAGAATAACAATCAATAAAGCAACAGTTCTCAAAATCCATATTCTAAATAGAATTATTTTATAAATGGCACTATTTCTAATATACTTTTTAAAAAAATGAAACATGTCTCAGGTATTTAATGAAATACATATCCATTTTAATTATTTTCTGTAAATATGGTGTATTTTTCATTACTTCATACAATTCTAAAGAACAACAGTTGTTCAGCCGTCATAGACAGGACTAAAAATTGAAATCCTGATTATATAATTTGGACTCGCACAGTCAGAGATTAGAGATTTATAATTCGAACTTCATTTCGGAAGAACAAAATAAACCATTTCATTGTGAAGTAATAACGTACCAGTTTTCCTCTCTTGAACTCACTAAACCAGCTTCCTGGTTTCTCTTTTGGCCAAGATGAAATTCTTACCTGTTGCAAAGGAATAGAAAAATTAGATACTTGGTAAGAAATATATAGAAATATTATAGTAAAGCTTCTTATAGTAATTAGGATATCTTCAGTATACTATTAATTATATATAATACACATTTGATATATTGTATAGATCAGAACACAATATGCTCTTATCTAATAAACAGACATTATATATGTATCTAGTTTCTTTTTTATATATGTATTTATTTTCTAAGAATATCAGAAATTTTCAATAAGATAGTGTTTAGTTTGGGTTCCGCAAAATGAGACAAAAGGCAAATTTCAACATAGATCTTGTGAATTTTATTTAATTGAAATGGAATGATTTGTTTTATATTCCCTTAACTCATATGAAAAGAATGCGGGGGGAAAAAACTATCTACATCGGTTAAGGCATATGAAGGGTAGTAGGTGGTAATATTTATATAACCCCATGCAAAAGAAATACTCATACTAGTCAGGAAACACTAATAATAATCAGGTAAAAGTTTGGGATCATCAGCATTCTGGGCCAGGGGAAGCATTCTGACGGTATCATACCAGTAATTGAGTTTAAGAAATTATTTTTAAAAATTTTTTTAAAAAAAGACAGGAACAAGCTGAAAGTGGCATGGTGTGTTATATGATTTTTTAGTTTTGTGTTGTACTGCTAACTGAAAGTTTAGCAGTTCAAATCCTACATCTTCAAGTAAAGAAGACAGGAAGTTTCCTCTTGCACAGTTTTACAACCTCATGAAACCCTGTGAAAGGTTGTCATGACTCAGAATTGATTCAAGGGGAGTGGATCCTGGTTTTGGTTCGAGAAAAATATTTATGACTTTATATATATCCATATTTTTCATTTTTCTCTGTGAAAATCAGCAAAATGTAAAAGTATATGTCTTCACAATAGACAATAATATCTTTAAGGGAATAGATTTTCCATTTCCCCACATTCCTTTGGAGGTTAGTAAAGCTTTACTGTGCTTTACCACATGCCAAAAAGGTTGGAAGATTAAAGTCACTTTTCCTTCTCCTACTACCCATATACTTAACTATTGTCTTGTAAAATTAAGCCATACATACAGCCACCTTTTTTAAAAAAAATCATGGCATTTTGTGTTTCTGTGCCTAATAAAAATGAGTTTTATTATAACTGTATAAGTAAAGATAAAATTCCTAACATATCAAGTGCTTGGAGAATATAATCATATTGGGGAAACTATTTCCTATATCAATGACTTGCATTTAGCTCTAAAGATTTAACTCAAGAATACTGACACTGACAGGAGCAAATTAAGGAGGCAAGTCCAAGATTGTTGTTGTTGTTATGTGCTGTGAAGTTGCCTTTGCCTCATGGCGACCCTATGTACTATAGTCGGCCCGGTCTTGATCCAATTTCACTGACTCCAAAACACATACCCACATTTCCATAGTTATTGTATCAATCCATCTCATCTGGAGTCTTCCTCTCCTGCACTGTCCCTCCACACTTCCAAGCATAATATCCTTCTTCAAGGAATGGTTCTGCCTGTCCACATGCCTGGAGTTGTGAGACAGAGCTTCAAAATCCTAGCCTCCAATGAGAAACTTGGTTCCACCCTCTCCAAGACAGACATATTTGTTTTCTTGGCGGTTCATGGTTTGTTCAAGACTCTTGTCCAGCCCCACAACTCAAAGGTATCAATTCTTCTTCTATCCTCCTTTGTCATTATCTAACTTTCTGGTTCATAGCAAGTAATTGTGAAGACCATGGACTGGATGAGTCTCTGAGACTGATGCCATTGCTTCTCAGTACTCTGGAAAGGTCTTTGACAGAAGATTTACATAATGAAATTCATCTTTTGATTGTCTGTCTTCTGGTGTCAAAATTGTTGATGGAAGTAGCTGAGGAAGCCGTAACAGTTAACAACCTCAATCTCTTCGCCATCCATCATGGTACCAGTTGGTCCAGTGGTGACAATTTTTGTCTTCTGGATGTTGAGCTTCAACCCATATTGAAGACTATGGTCTTGGACCTTCTGCAGCAAGAGCTTCAGGTCTTCTGAAGTTTCAGCAAAGCAAGGTTGTGTCATCTGTCTAACGTGGGTTGTTGATGAGTCTTCCTCCCATTCTGATGCCACATTCCTCCTCATAAAGTCCAGCCTCCGAGTGATCTTTTCTGCATATAGACTGAAAAGATATGGAGACAGGACACATTCTTGATGCACTTCCTTCATGATTTGAACCATGAAGTGTTTCCCTGCTCTGTTCTGAGGACTGCTTCCTGATCAAGTATAGGTAGGAAAAATTTTAAAAAACAGGTAGATTTAAAAAAGAATTATATATAAAATATTACTTCTTTTAAAATGGTGTATTTTAAATGTATAATAGACAACTATATATTCTATCATGTGGAAACTGGACTGAAGAATGCCATGTTGTAGCTAGGTGCTGTTGAGTTAAGTACAATCCATCGTGAACCTATGAACAATAGATCTACTCCCTGTCCTGTCTTATGCCATCCTCACAATTTCTGTCACACTCAAACTCACTGTCACAGTCACAGGAAGAATGTCAGAATGATACCAAAATTTGAGAGTCAGCTGCACTGTGTCATTGAAAGCCACAGAATTCTAGAGAGCAAGCAGGTGTACAAAGAATACATCTGTGTAAGAAAAAATAAAGGAGAGGAGTATTTGTTAACACTGTGCATCACTTTGGTGTCTTATTCATGTTTATGCAAATGAAATGCTCTAATTACCCTGTAAGAAAAGCAGATAAATGAAAATATGACAGTATAATTTTCTGTTTAGTTCAATATTGCAAAAACATCGCAGGAACTGTCAACAGTTGCCACCACAACAGACTGGTACTTACACCTTCAGATTTTTTGTCTGGATAAATACAGGTTTCTCCACCAGACGTGAAATTACAGTAAACTTTGAAGGAATCTCCTGAGCAGCCTTGGTTAGGATCAATCCAATATTCACCTAAAAGGTAGAATACATAAGTTATTTGAAAAGTTATTTTTTAAAACATAGTAAATAATAAATTTTATTAAAAAAGAGAAAATAAGTAAAAATGAATATTAATAATTTTTTTCTCCACACAAATAATTCAATGCTATTGGGAAGAGTGGAATACCCTAACTGCTAAGAAAATGAATAAATGACTCTATTTTCATCTGCTCATAAGCTATTACCCTTTACTCTTTCTCCTTAGGTACCAATTTCATACTTAATAGGTTCACTTCCCTCACATTTCAATTTAAATTTTGCCTCTTCAAATACAGCCATAAATGTACAATCTGCAGTGGATAAAATTGATGAATGGGACCTTCTAAAGACTAAATCCCTGTGCTCATCAAAAACTTTTTTCCAATAGGGTGAAATAAAAGCCTACTGAATGGGGGGAAAATGTGGCAATACCATCTCAGACAAGGGTTTCCTATCAAAAGTTAACAGAATCTCACACGGCCTCTACAAGAAAAAGACTAATAGGCCAATTAAAAAATGGGCAAATGATATGGAAATGTCTTTTATAGAGGAAGACATTCAGATGGCCAGCAGACACACAAAGAAATGCTCAAAATCACTGGCAACAAAAGATATGCAAATCACAACTACAACTAGATACCATCTCAGTAGCAGTAGTAGTGGCAAAGTTTAACAGGACAGCAATTAATAAATGTTGGAGAGGATGTAGAGAAGTAGGAACTCTCATACACTGCTTGTGGAACTGTAAACTGATATAACCACTCTTGAAGGCAGTTTGGCATTTCCTCAAAAAATTGAGCATAGAAATTCAAATACTAACTTTCTCTTCTATCTATATGTAATATATGCATGTAGGAATTAGATATATTTGACTTCAAATACTATATATAGTATTTACAATTTAACTAATCTGAGCATAATAACAAAATATTTTCTCTTTGTTTCTTCATCTGTAACAATAAAAGTGAAAATATACTTTAGCATTACATATTACAAAACTTTTTTCTCCTAGTAAACAGTTATTTCTGAGCTAAGTTTCAGAAAGATCTATTTATTATACTGTTTTTTAGTCTGTTCTTAATGTAATTACTGAAATACTGCAGAATATATTTTATTAAATGAATGATCATGTTTGTTAATCTGATGTAAGATGAGTAAATATGTTAAGCAGTGGGAGAAACATAAACACGATTTTTCTTTACATGACTGATGATATTATTTCCATTAATGAGAGTTACTGGGATATATAACTGATATACATGTAAAAATAACTTTGCTTCTCTTTTAGTTTTTCATGCTGCCATTTCAGTTCACATACAAATTGAATTATATCAATCTATGGGTAATGGACTTTTAACAATTTAAAGTGATTAGTACTGAAACCTTTAAGTATCTAATGTCAGTGTACTCGAACTATTAAATAATTTGAAGTCTAATCCAATGGTAAGGAGTTACACTGCAAACCCAAAGGCATGTGGTTTAAATCCATCAGCTGCTTTATGGGAGAAATATGGGCAATCTCCTCCTGAGTGATCTATAGCGTTGGGAAACCTGCTAGATAGCTATTTGTTCTGACTTGCTGTATATATTACCATACATAATATATTCAATATAGCATCTCTCATATAGCTCCAATATGTATTTACACACTGATATTTTCATCCACCATTATATTTTCACCAGGATAGTCTTTGGCTTCCTGAATAGACTTCCGTGTCCATTTCTTTTACTTATAAATAATTTCAAATCATTATTTTATTTTATTCTTTATTGTTGAACTATGGTGATTAACTCTCAGTTCCTTTGTAAGATTTTTCCATCTTCAAAGTTTTGAAAATGCCTCATAATCCCAGCCTGGCTTCTCCCACCCTCATTCTTGCACAACTGGTTATCTCCTTAAGGTTTCAGGCTAAATATCACCTCCTCAATTATAAACATGCATTTAATTTATGCACCACAGATGTAAAGTGTCAATTCTTCTGTCATTGTTCAGCCTTCTGAGTCATAGCCAGTAAATGCAAAGACCAAGACCTGGATCAGGTGCATCAAACTGACATCGTTGTTCTTCAGCACTCTGGAGAGCTCTTTGACAGACAACTTTCCCAATGTAATTTGCCTTTTGATGGTACCAAGAGTGTTGATTGTTGGAGCCATGAAAACTGAAGCTGTTACAATCTCAATATCTTCAACATCTATCATGCTGCTGCAGCTCATACCAGCGGTGAAAATATTTGCTTTCCTGATGTTGAGCTTCAATCCATATTGAAGGTTGCAGGCTTTGAACTTCTGATGTAAAAGGTTCAGGTCCTTCTCAGTTTCAACAAGCAAGGTCGTAGTCATCTGCATAGTGCAGGCTGTTGACGAGTCTTTCTCCAATCTTGATGCCACATTGATCCTCATAGAGCCCAGCCTGCTGGATATTCTGTTCTTCATAGAGATTGAAAAGGTATGGATATGGGCACATCCCTGGTGTACACCTTTCTTGATTTTGAACAATACAGTGTTTCCTTGTTCTGTTGTGATTACTGCCTCCTGCTCATAGTATAGGTGTCTCATAAGCACAATCATGTGTTCTGGGATTCCCATTTTTCCCAGAGTCAGCCAGTTTGTTGTGATCCACACAGTCAAATGCCTTTGCATAGTCAATGAAGCGCAGATAGACATTTCTCTATACTCTCTGCTTGAGTTGTGGTGCTGAAGAAGAGTAATGAATATACAATGGACTGCTAGGAGAACAAACAAGTTTGTCCTGGAGAGGGTGAAACCAGGCTGCTGCTTGAAGGCAAGGGTTCTGAAGCTTCATCTGACATACTTTGGGAATGTTGCAAGGAGAGACCACTACTTGGAAAGGGATGTCATACTTGGAAGGGTGGTGGGAGAGCACAAGAGTGGAAGACCCTGGATGAGATGGATTGACTCAGTGACTGGGGGATTGGGTTAGGTATATCAGAGACAATAATGTTGGCTCAAGGTAAAGCAGGGCTCAGATCTGTTGCACATAGGGTCACTATAAGTTGCAAGCAACAGAACAGCATGTCACAACAACAACAATATTGTTTAATTTATTTAGAATTTTCTTTTAATTACCTAAATCTATATTTTATTTAGTACTATTTGTCATAAAATGGTATTATTCACATCTTTAATTAGTTTTTTGGGTTTTTTTTTTTTTCAGTTTCTACCATTAGATTGAGGAGAGCTGTTGTGGCCTAGTGACAAGAAGCTGCACTGTAATTCCAAAGACATTAGTTCAAATCTACTAGCTGCTACACAGAAGAAAAAATGGACAATTTCCCTCTTGGTATTAAGTACTTCTTAAAACCCATGGGAGAGTCAGCCATGGATCAGTTCAAACTTGGCAGCAGACAACAGCAATAAGAACTACCATTAAATCTAAGCAGTCTTAAGGCATTATTCCCGTCTTGATTTATTAATATTTGCATGAGGAGTAGTGTCTAGTACTTTCTAATGAATAAAGAATTATTAATAATTGACACATTAGTTAATGAAACTAAGTTACTACATTCTAAACTACTGAGAACTATGTATAATCTTGGCGAACTTAATTATTATAAAAACTCATAATTTTCTTCGTGCTCCGGTTCCAGTTAATTAGTTTCTGTTTTATAATTTAACACACTGCCATAATTTATCTTGTTTTTTTCAATTTATTATTGAGGTCAGATGTTTTAGACTCAAGTCATGTAGTCAAATAATATGCTTTGTACTCTATTGTGAATTCCCCGTAAGCTCAACAAACATTTGCTGATTGACCAAGTATATTTAGATTCTGCAATAGAGAAAATTCAAGCTGTTCTGAAAAAATTAGCAAAAACCAAGGCTGCAGGAATTGATGGAATAACACTTGACATATTTCAACAAACACATGCTTCCCTGGACATGCTCACCAGTTGTGCCAAAAAAAAAATATCTGGAGAACAACTACCTGGCCAACTAACTGGAAGAGTTCCATATTTACTCTCACTCTACAAAAAAGTGACCCGACAGAATGTGCAAATTATAGAATGATATCACTAATACTACTTGCAAGCAAAATCCTTCTGAAGATTATCCAAAAACAACTGGAACATACGTTGACAGAGTATGACCAGAAATACAAGGTGTGTTTAGAATAAGTCATGGCACTAGAGATATTATTGCCAGTGTCAGGTGGACCTTGGCTGAAGGAATGCCCATCTCTGTTGCATTGACTAGACATTTGACTGTGTGTACCACAACAAACTGTGGCTAACCTTGACGAGAATGGGAATCCCAGAACACTTGATTGTGTTCATTCTAAACCTATACTCAGATCAGAAAGCAGTCCTCAGAACAGAGCAAGGAAACACTACATGGTTCAAAATCAGGAAAGGTGTCAGGGGGGGTTTCCTGTCTCTAAACCTTCTCAATTTATACATGGAACAGGTAATTTGAGAGGCTAGACATTATGAGGAGGAATGTGACATCAGAATTGGATGAAGGTTCATCAACAACTCGTGATATGAAGATGACACAGACTTGCTTGAGAAACTGAGGGAGACTTGAAGCACTTGCTGCAGAAAATGAATGACTATAGTCTTCAATATAGATTGAAGCTCATTAATTAGAACACAAATATTCTTACCACTGTGCCAGTTGACAGCACCATAACAGATGGAGAAGAGATTGAAGTGGTTAACAATTGCAGGTTGCTCAGCTCCACAACCTACACTCATGGCACCAGAAGTCAGGAAATCAAAAGACAAATTGCACTAGGAAAATCCATAATCAGGGACCTCTCCAGTTTACTGAGAAGCAAAAATGTCAGTCTAGAGACTAAGGTGTTCCTGATTTAGGTCATGTTCTTCGCAATTACTTGCTATGCATCAGAGAGGTGTACAATGACTAAGGGTGATAGAAGAAGAATCAACACCTTTGCATTGTGGTGCTGGCAAAGGGTGTTGAACATACCATGGACTGCCAAGAAAACAAACAGGCCTGTCTTGTAGAGAATGAAATCAGGTTTGTTCATGGTGGCTAGGATTTTGAAGCTTGGCTTCACGTACTTTGCTGATGTGGCCAGAAGGGACTGGTCTCTGGAGAAAAACATCATGCTTGGAAGGATGGACTGACAATTTAAGAAAGAAAGATCCCAGATGAGATGAACTGACACAGTAAATGTGGTAATGGGGGTAGGTGTTTCAGAGTCAGTAAGAATGGTTCAGGATAGGGCAGGTTTCAGAGCGGTTTTATGATGGTATATAACAAAAACGATGAAGGGAGAAATTGGTACAGATGCAAACTAAATCACCTAAATGTTTTGCATATAAAATCCTAGTTAAAAGGAAGGTTCTTCTCACAAATAACTTAATTCAGTTATTTTATATTAATTCATATAAAATCAGGAATAATTTTAAAAAAATATATCAATACTTTAAAAAACATGAATAATAATATGTCTAGACATGCTAATATTATCTCGAGAAGTTATTCTGGACTGCTTTTGTGGTCAAATATATAGCAGAGAAGGGAAAATTGTCATGTCTGTAGTAAGATGTTTTACACAGGATTGATCACCACAAACTCTTAACAGGGTCATCTGTTTTTTTATTCTTCTTAGTGAAGTGTTAGAGAGTAACATCCACTAGCCTATCACAGCTGGAAGCAGGAATGGCATCCACCTTCAAAAAAGTTCCAGAAATTGTGAACTTAGAGAAAAGATGAAAGTTTTGCATTCAAGACTCTCATTCATAGAGTCACTATGGGTCATCTATGACCCTATGGCACTTAACAACAACAACTACAACATACCACATACTGTCTTTGAGTTGAGTTTTAGTAATTGTTTCACAAAGCAATATATCGTTAAGACAAGAAACTTTTATGATATCCTTCCTTTAATGTGTCTATTTCTTAAATTCATTAAAGAGTCTCCTCTGTGCTGTTTATACTTCAAATTTAACATTTGCCATATAATTGACAGCATATTGCCTCATAAATGGGGAGAATTCAAATTAGATTAATATATCTCTTTTTCTAGTTCATTAATTATGTTAGTTTAGTTAATTAAGTTAGGGTATGTAAACTGGTTTCCTTTTTTATTTTTTTTTTGTAATACTAGTTTATTTACACACAAAAAAATACATTGTTTTAGAGAATGGATTCTTTCAATTTCCCTCACTCTCGCATCTATCAAATTGTACAACTCCATGATTAATTCCCCTCCCCCTGCATATCCTCATCCATCTGCTTCCACCCTTCCCCTCCCACCTTGGATACTTATACTCATTTTACAATAGTGGGTTTATACAATCCTTGCCCTTGGGGGACTGAGTTCATGCAGTTTAATGCTCTTCAGTCCCTCCCAAGTTAGGTAATAATTTATAAAATCTTTTCTCCTGCATGCCGTGTATTCCATTATCTGAATGTACCATAATTTTTCAATGTTTTCATTTTTTGCTTGGACATTTTGGCCGTTTCCATGTTCTTGTGTTGGTGAATAATGCTACTATGAACATTGGTGTACAAGTCTGTTTGTGCCTCAGTTCTCATTTTCTCAAGGTATATTCTAATTAGTGGAATAACTGGCTCATTTGGAAATTCTACGTTCAGCTTTTTGAGGAAGTGTGTTACTGCCTTCCAGAATGGTTGTACTATTTTACAATCCCAAAAACAATGTATAATAGTTCATATCTTGCCACATCCTCTCCAACATTTATTACCTGCTGCCCTGTTAAACTTTGCCACTGTTATTGGAGTGAGATAGTACCTCACTGTAGTTTTTATTTGCATCTCTCTTATTGTCAGTGATCTGGAGCATTTCTTCATGTTTCTGTTTGCCATGAGAAATCTTCCTCTGTAAAAATTATTTCCATGTTTTTGCCCATTTTGTAATTGGGTATGTCATCAAATAAAAACTATTAATTAAATGATTATATTATAAATATTAAGTGCAGTGTTTGCTTTAAAGTTGGCTTTTCTTGTCATTACATTAAACCCCACTGGTCTCCAACTACCTTAACTGCAGACACATAGTTTTGCAGATCATCAATAGCTGTGGGACTACTATATGAGAGAAAGAGTGCTTTCCACACTACAGTAAGACTTTAGTGATGACAGTCATGGAGAAATTGTGGAGAGAGTGTAGCATTGTGTAACCTGAGACTTCTTGCCTTTGTGGTTGCCACAGGTAAAGGTATTCTTTGCTGGATGGTTGATGAAGAAGCTTACTTACATTGGCTCTGAGGCAAACCTTGCTGTAAGACTGAGGTGCCACTGAACTGAAACTAAGACTTTTCACTAATTGAGGAATTGTGTTTTGCCTTGTTAATCCAGCTTGAGACTCCTGGAGTAAACTTGGAATTACATTGTGAGATATTCTTTGTCTTCTCACACATCAACCTATTTACCTAATAAAACCTCATTCTTGGGATTGCCACACCTATGAGTAAAGTTTGTGTGTCAACAACAAATATTAAACCTAATGATTGGTAAAAATAGGTGCAGGACCATGAAGGGTGGTGTGTCTGACCAAGCAGCTATTTGTTTGAGACTATGGATATTATTGATGGGGATAGTTCCCCTTTATTCAGCTAGTGTATGTCATACACAGCCACCCTCATGTTGCATCCACTCCTTTTGCACTTAGTAGATGCTTTACTATTGTTCCAGGTTTTCCTGACCAACAAAAGAAGTAAATTTTTGCTACAACTTATTCCAAGCTTTAAAATATTCTGTTTGCACATAACTATCAAACTGACTGACCAAATATGAATTAGCTATGCAGTTTAATTTAACAGTTTTACTGTTAGGTACCATTGAGTTAGCTGTGACTAACAAAGAGACATTATGAACAACAGATTAACAAGTTTTTAGTTATTTTGTTATGTGTTATCAAGTTGACTGCAACTCATAACAACCCTAGGAACAACAGCTCTGAACCCTGCTCTACTTTGAGCCAGTTTCATTGTCTCTGACACACTTAACCCACTTACCCTAGTCACTGAGTCAATCCATCTCATTCAAGGCCTTCCTCTCTCACACTGTCCCTCCACCCTTCCAAGATGATATCTCTCTTCAAGGGATGGTTCCTCCTGGTAACATACCCAAAGTATGTGAGACAGAGCTTCAAAATCCTTGCCATCAAGGAGATCCTTGGATTTATGTCTCCAAGAAGTACTTGTTTTTTCTCCTACCAGTCCATGGTATACTCAATCCTTTTTTCAACACTAAAATTCAAAGTACATTAATTCTTCTTCTATCATCCTTAGTCACTGTCCAGCTCTCTCATTCATAGCAAGTAATGGCCTGGATCAGGCGCAACTTAGTCTCCAGAGTGACACTGTTGTTCTTCAGTACTCTGGAAAGCTCCCTGACAGCAGACAACTTTTGATTTCTTGGCTATTGGTACCAAGAGTGTTGATTATGTAGCCAAATGAGCTGAAGTTGTTACAATCTCAATTTCTTCACCATCTATCAGGATGCTGCCAATCAACCCACTGGTGAGAACCTTTGTTTTCTTGATGTTGAGCTTCAATCAATACTGATGGCTGCAGTCCTTGACCTTCTTTAGCAAATGCCTCAGGTCCTCCTCAGTTTTCACAGTGAAGGTTGTTATCTGAATAGTCCAGGTTGTTGATGAGTCTCACTCCAATCCTAACGCCACTTTCCTACTCATAGAGTTTCTTGGATCTGTTCCTTATAATGAAAAGGTGTCGAGATAGGATGCATCCCTGGCATACACTTTTCCTGATTTTTTTACCATGCAGTGTTTCCTTGCTTTGTTCTTATGACTGCCTCTGGGTCCAAGTATAGGTTTCACGTAAACACAGTCAAGTGTTCTGGGATTCCCATTCTTCTCAAAATCAACCACAGATTGCTGTAATCTACACAGTTAAACACCTCTGCATAGTCAATGAAGCACAGACAGTTATTCCTCTTGACATACTCTGATTTCAGCTATGATCCATCTGACATTGGCTATAATGTTCCTAGTGCCATTGCCTATTCTCACCCAGCCTGAACATCTGGGAATTATCTTTTGATGTGTTGTTCCAGTCATGTTTGGATTCTCATCAGGATTTTGCTTGCATGTGATATTAATTATATTGTTTGAATATTCCCACACTGTTGGGTCACCTTTTTTTGGAAAGGGAGTAAGTACAGATCTTTACAGTCAGTTGTTCAGGTGTTTGTCCTCCAGATTTCTTGGCACAACTTGGTGAGCATGTCCAGGGCAGCATGTGTTTGTTGAAACATGTCAGTTGGTATTCCACCAATTCCTGGGTTGGTTTTGTTTTGTTTTTTTGCCAGTTCCTTCAGAGCAGCTTGAACTCTTCCTTCATCATCATAGGATCTTGATCATATCAACTTAAAATAAATTAGGGTATAAATAATACCACTATACTAAGAATCATATGTGTGCATATGTGATACACATTCTATGATTGTTATTACTACATAAAAATGTGCTTGCAATATTAATACAAAAATAATATTTCTATAACTCATAGAATTATTCTTTAACAGACATAGTGTTCCAAAGCAAATCACTAATTTGGCACCACAAATATGAACATTTTTCATCTCCAAAGCTAGAATCAATAATCATTTGCTTTCTTTTTAGTTAGAGATTACATTAAAGATTTAAGTTGAATTAATGAGCTCACAATGCACCTTAGGAACATAGAAACTCTGTGTACTTGCTTTATTATGTATTATTCACGTACCGTCTGGGAAGTCAGGATGGCTGAGTTGCAGATCTTTGCAAGTTCGGGCTGGATTACTTTGTGTGCCCATTGGAAACTTCATATGCTCAATGTCTTGTTTCAGAGAATTGAGGGAACCAAATATTTCTTCCATTCCATCTGAATAATCAAGAATATTGTCGCCTGCATCTGCTTGCATGCTTTCAGTATGTCTTCTTGTTTTTTTGGGTGACAAGATTGGTAAAGGTTGGATTACTTCACCAGGTGGGCCCTGTAAAAGAGATAATAATTTATGTGAACTTGTTTCAGGAGCACAAAACTTCCTGCAGATATTAGCAGTTCCGATTTATTACATGCTATAGAAACTAGAGTTGGTTTGGGTTTTAGTTTTTCCATAACATCTGCAAAACAAACATGTCCGATTCTATTTATTTGTACACGAATCCAACCCACTGCTGTTGGGTCAAGGCTGACTCATGCCTAAGACACAGCACAATAGACCTATAGTGTTACAAGGATTGTAATCTTTATAAAAGCAAACCACCACATCTTCAACCTACAGACAACCTGGCAGGTTTAACCCGCTGATGTTTTGGTTAGCACTTTAACTACTAGATGACTAGGGCTCTTCTTTATATCTATGCAAGTAGACCTTGAAGATATTGTGGGTTCAGTTCTGCATCACCACAGCAAAGCAATTATCACAATAAAAGCAAGTCACATGAATTTATAAAATCTTTGGTATCCCAGTGCATGTGAAAGCTGTGCTTACATTAAGCTACAGTCTATTAAGGGTACAATAACATTGTGAAAAAGTTTGAAATATTGTCAGAATTAGCAAAATGAGAGAGACGTGAAGTCAGCACACATTGCCAGACAAATGACTAAGAAAGAGTTACTTGACGTAGTGTTTCCACAGACCTTCAATTTGTAAAAAAGCAGTATTTTATGTTGGTATATATTTAAATTCTTGTTGTTGTTGATTGCCATAGAGTTGAGCATGACTCATAGCAACCCTATGAAAAAAAGACCTGAAGCCTTTCTATAACTATCGTCATTTACCAAAGTTCATAGAGTTTCCAGAGGCATTAGGTTAGAAAGTGGATGCCACTCCTGCTTCCAAATATATTTGTGCTATATATAGCATATTTATATAAAAAATTATAACATTTATATACATATAACAATTGTGTGCTTGTGTATAGAATTTTTTAAAATTTAAAACAAATTTAGGGGGAGAATTGAGGTGGAAACTAATCCTATAGTTCCTATCTATACCAATGAGTTTCTTGGTAGTCAAGTGGTAAGTATCTACAGCTGCCAACAATAACAAATCAGTGACGGAACATCCTATGGAGCACAGTTCTTCTTTGGCACATATTCTGTGAGTTAGAATCTACTATATGACAACTAATTACTGATTATCCATATAAGTAATAGAGTGTTCTAGTCGGTTAGAGTGAGGAGCTCTGCTGCCAGTGAACAGGTATGCATTTCAAATCCATCAGCTGTTCCAAGGGAGGGAGACGGGCAATCCTCTCTTTTGCTATTTATTGCCTCTGCAAACCTGCTGGAGGGTCAGGTATGGGTAAATTCTACTCGATGCTCACTATAACATACAAGTTATGAAGCACAGATTTATGTGGCATATATTAAATAAGTTATTTTGTTATTAATTAGTCCTCATTTGTTTGCCCTATCATTGGAACTAGATTTTTAAGTCTCTGAGGAAGGGAAGAGCATATAATGGTACAAAGAGTATAAATAAGGGTATAATAAATATATAGCCACACATACAGAAGGAACATTCTGGTGGCCTAGTAGCAAGAAACTGCACTGCAATTACTAAGGCACATGATTTGAATCCACTAGCTGCTCCACAGGAGAAAGATGGGCTATCTTCTGTGCGATTTACTTGCAGTTTGCGATTTATGTGCGATTGCCTTAGAAAACCCTCTGAAGGTCAGCTATGGGTCAATTCTGACTCAACAGGCATATAACAACAACATACGTGTAGGAATTTATTTCAAATGATTACAACATCGATCTTTAAAATGTACTAACTTAAAAACAATATAAACATCAAATACACTTGGGTGAGAGAGGTAATTGAAATTGTGTTTTTGTACAATGAACCCACTACTTTTGAATTTGTTCTCTCCCACAGTGACCCTCTCTTGATTATGCAGTGCTTTCATTCTTTATAGGAGGAGACTGCACACCTTTGTTCCTTGGAAAGGATGGTAAATTTGCAATGTCTACCTTTTGATTTTCTGTCAGACATGCAACATGTTACCCCACCAGGGCTCTTGTAACAGAAATGTATTAAACTTTCATTTATCATAGATTTTCATTTGCAAACTATGATTTAGCAGTTGGGTAATCACTGAAGCCTCGAAAATAATAGTATTAGTAAATAGTAGCTAAGGAACTCTGATGATCTAACGCATAACGAGTTGCAGTGTCAACCCTTGAAAAAAGGGATGGGGGGTTGAATCACCAGTTCTCCATAGGAGAAAGATGGGCAATTTTCTTGGGTGCAGTATACAGTCTCTTAAAGCTCAATCATGGGTTAGTATGAGATGGTTCTGACTCAGCAGCACAAAATAATAGCAACAAAAACAACAAATAGTAGCTACCATTGTTTATTATTATTATTTGCATTGGGATAAAATGTCAAGCATATGAACTATTGTCTTTTTTCTTAGTGTCAAAAAGAACTGTATTTTGGGCCATGTTATCAGATTTCATTAAAGTATAGCACCAAAAATTATTATTTTCTAAAAAACTAAAAAGGAAATCACTTTATCATAATATATATTTAAGATATTTTTATATTTAAAGGATTGAAATTGTTTCAAGGACAAGCATTTGTATATAGACTTAATTACTTCATTGATGAGTTACCACTTCCTAGAATATCAGCACCCAACATCCTTTAATGTAGCCTCTGTAGTTCAAAATATTGTTGTACTTACTGGAGGTCCAGGAGGCCCAGGGGGACCACTATCACCCTTCTGGCCAGCAGGACCCTGTTAGAAAGAGAAAAAGGAAGGTGACATAAATTATCGCTAAAGTTTATGAATATCACCAAAACCCCAAAATGTCAAAGAGGCAAGTACTCACAGTAGAGCCTTTGTTACCCTTTGGACCTTGAGGACCCTAGAAAACAGAAAAGTAAAAGCATGGACAAAAATCTTGCAAATGTTTTTTTTTTTTTTGGTGTATTTGTAAATGAATCCTATCTTACAGGATTTTAAATAGTACTTACTGGTAAACCTGGAGGTCCAGGTGGGCCTAAGGGACCAGGAGAGCCAGGAAGACCCTAAATAAAAATAAATAATAAATAATAAAAAATTATCCTCTGATACTCTATCTTAATGTAATGTAGAAAATAACAATACATGGTATGTAGTTTAGAGAGGTAGGAAAATTTCGTGATGGTCTGAAGTCTTACGACTGAGAATTTTAGCAATAAAATTGCAAGATGACCTGAATTTTTTTCATTTCCTTTGTTCCCAGGCCATAAATTTTTTTCACATATTTTTATATCCCTATATCCATCTAAATGATAATTTGTAAATGGTCAGGATTCAATAAACATTTGCACAATTAATTATTGAACTGAAATTTTTATCATTTCTAACATCAATCTTATTTAAAGTTACTTACTCTGAGGTTAAACAAAGATTTTTTTAAAAAACTTCATGCATTCTAGCAGATTAGGCTAAAGATGCTATAAATTTCTTTGTCATGTATAAAGGAAAATTGAGAGAGGAGAGAGAAAAAAGCTAGAGAGAGAAAAAAGCTAGAGAGAGAAAAAAGCTAGAGAGAGAAAAAAGCTAGAGAGAGGGAGAGAGAGAGAGAGAGACAGAGAGAGAGAGAGATGCGGAAGGAGGAGGTAAAGGAAGAGAGAGAAAGAGACTGGAAAGGAATAGGAAAACTATTAATATCTTTACTCACTCCATCTCCCTTTGCTCCAGGAGAACCTTGAGTTCCAGGGAGTCCTCTGTCACCCTTTTCACCTTGTTCTCCAGGAGGACCTATCAGGCCAATTAAACCAGGATGTCCCTTTGGGAGGTAGGAAAAGAAGTTTAGTACTGTATTAGAAGGAGCTGTGATGGTATGTATGGTCTGTGGGAGTTACAGCTACGTTACCAAATTCAAATTATCAAATATTTTACATTAAATTCTGTAGATAAAGAATAGTTTAAAATGGAATATTTTTCTGAATGGAAGGTATACATAAGAACTTCTTACTCCTTCAAGCAATATAATTTACTAATTAAATTAAGGCACACTTTCAGTAAAGCTAAGGTGTATTATATAATGGAATACATTTAAAAACTGTAATCTCCTAAAATTCAATTACTTGAAAGGAATTTTGTCAACTGAGAGAATAACAAAGACAACGAATAATATTGCCAAAGATTATACCCAGAATTCATTACTTTAATAAGCATCTCATTTTATGTGGAATAATTTCTAGTCTTTGAAGACACTGCAAACTTTAAATATCATGTGGGGACTTAAAAATAGTCCAAACAATATTAAGACCATGGTGTATAAAACCAATTTTCTTTAATTGTTTTGTAGGCTTTAGTATATATTCTGGAAAATTACTATTTATATTTCTGGCTAATTTTTAAAAAAACTGTTCACATAAAGCATAAAATAGTGCTATAATTACCTCGTCTATTCACTTCTATAAAGATTTTTAAGTGAAATGATATACTTTATTCATATGGTTCTTACAAGGGGACAGTGTGAAGGTACAACATGGAATTCTGGTACATTTCTCACTATAACTTTTCATTATTTTTTCTTCTTAAATGCATCTGAGAATCTGAAGACTGGCAGATTCTTCAATGGTTAGACTGTAAAGGGTATTCCAAATTTCCTTTTGAGTGAATAGAATATGTACCAAACCTTGCCTCCACAATTAGAATAAAAAACTTGTAAAAATATGTTCTTTTTTCCTCACCTTCTCACCCTTGGAACCAGGATCACCTTTGAGACCAGGTAAACCAGGAGGTCCCTAAATACAAGGATAAAGTGAATACATAATTCAGGTTTGAGTTAAAATGTCCCAATGCTACTAACAGATCTTGAATTATAAAGAGTGGATTTTTAACTATATAAATCTTGGAAGAAAAAAGTTTCACATTGTACTTTATCAAATATTTTCATGGCAAAGCTGTAAAAGGTTGCAATCATGAAAAAATAATTTTTATTGTTAATGTCAGTAAACTTTTGAGAACTAAATTTTGATTGTTACACAAAAAATTAAAACAACAATTTTGATAATCTTTTTTTTTTGCATTTGAATAAGAATTTTTTTCAAGACCCATACTGCATGATGCCGCAGAGGACTTGATGACACATAAAAAACAACTACTTCTTTTTTTCCTGAGTATTCTGCAGAATAGTAATATAACTTCTTTATAAATTATTTTAAACTAGGATCTTGTAATTTTGCTAGATTATAACCATTTTCTGAATTCTGACTTGGATTTTTCTCACTTGATATAACTTTCATTATGAAGAATAGACTATTATTTCATTATAAAGCTTTCATTATGACTTTTGTAAAGAAAAATATTTAGAGTACAGAATAATTGCATTGATAGCATAGATTTATAGCATGTCTGTTAATCTACAAAATTATTTTGATAACTCTTTTCTATATTTCTAACAATCCAGAAGAAGTATCTACTTGCATACATTTTATTTGTAAGATACTAGCTCACTGGGCTTTGTGGAAAATTTGGACTTCAAAGTCAGGTATCTGATTCCAAATTAAAAGTATTTCTATCACATAAAAGTCCATGTCAAACTGAAATCTTAATGCCACTGAGTCAGTACAAGCTCATAGCCATCTCTTTGAAGCTTTAAATCAGTCAAGATTCAATTCTCCATCTTTCTTCCTGGGAGATGATGCTGGATTTGAGCAACCAGATAAGTGTGATCTTTGTGTTAAGGTGCAACTCCCTGTGGACTAAATCACCAGAGTCCTTAGAGTCATGCTTATGGAAACCCTATGAACTTTGGTAAATGTCAATGGTTTCCCATAGGCTGTAAATCACTATGGTAGGAGACCCTCAATCTTTCTCTCAGAAATTGGTTGGTGGTTCTCAAATGTCAACTTAAAATGAACTGATATGTTATGCACTAGTCCAACAGTAATCATTATATATTCTATAATATATGAATTTGTTGATTTTATTTATCCTAATTAATCCCATATGAATACCCAAAAATCAAAGATACTAATAAAAAGTTAAGGGGACATACTGATTAGATTTCTATGTGATAGTCATTGTCAAGATAATTAGATAAGCTATTCCTGCTATAGATGTCTTCATTTGGCAGTAGAAAGACTCGGGGAATTACCAAATGTGACATTATTTCTCTTATTTTTAATGGAGCAGATGTCCACAAACTTTAAACTTTGTGAGATCGCAAAGAATATCAGTGAAAAAGCAAGAATTTGAACTAATTTAATGATTTGGACCAAAGTTCCTTCCACTAAAACAGATACCTGTATACTATTATCTTCTTTAATTGTGTTATAAAATATTCAACTTAAAATTCTTTTTTTCCAGATTATTTATGTCTATGTAGTGCCTCCTCCCAAGTAATGACTGAATTCTCTGCACAAAATGTCATGAGCTTAAAAAATCTTGTACTAAGTAGTAGAGCTCTGATGGCATAATATAAAGGATAGCACCGCCAACTCAAAAGCCATGCTAAAAAAATGCCATGCTACTGACTAGTAAAGCACACCATAGACTCCTTGGAAGAAAGCTGATTAGTCTCTTCCTATTGGGCTTTACAGCCTCAGACACTCAAGGGTGGTTCATCATGAGTCACAGTCGTTCGATTACAGTGAATGAACTGTTGCTGCTGTGAGCATTGAAAACATTAATTTTGTTTCCAAAGTAAAAGAAAAGAATGCCATCTACCTCGATGGTGTTTTTGGTCATAATTCTTTAGCTGGATTTTGGTCTAAATTATTTATAGATTTAATAATAAAACAATTTACCTTTTTATGCAAACCATCTCTATTTAAATAGCTTAATTTTATATATTAATTACCAAGGAATCTATCCTTTAACTACACTGCAACAGAGACTCTGATAGAAAGTTTAATCACACTAATAGAAAATTTTTAAGTATTTGGTTCATGAAATTAAGGTCATGATAATTAGGACCCACATGTAGGTCAAAATCAAAAAACATAAGGCACTGAGAAATCTAACTAAGGCAAAATTACTCATTTGGTTTCTCTATGAATTTGAATTACATTGATTGAATTATTTAAATTCTATTTCCACAATGGTTTGGTGTCTGGCTTGGTTTTTTGTTTTTATTTTTCTCCTCCTCTCCCTGGTATGGCACTGTTTTTGTTATGTGCCTTTAAGTAGAACTGACTCATAGCTGAGCCTTCAGTGGGTTTTCAGAGTCTGTAAATCGCTTGGGAGGAGACTGCCCATTGTTCGCCCATGGAGAAGCTGGTGGATTTGTCTATATGCCTTGGATATGGCACTGCACCTCCCTAAGAAAGGAAACTTTTTAAACTTGTGGCTGTCACAAAGCTGTTTCTGTGATTAGGTACCAATCAGTTTCAACACATTTTGACTCCTAGTTATGCACTGGAACCACCCAGAGGGTTTTCCTGGCTGCAGTTTTATAGAAGGAAATAATCAGGTCTTTTATCCACAGAGCAACTGAGTAGGCTCAAAACATCAATCTTCTGGTTCGATTCCAGGGCATGACTGATATATAGCTATTAAAAAGAAACATATTCTATAGCTTAAAATGATGAAGCTATTTAAAAAGATGAGTCTTTTTTCTTTCTTATATATTGATTTCACATTCACCTATCTCATACATACGACACAGATTTTTTGCTGTGAGAGAAATGATAAGGAATGTGTTTACAGGACATCAATATTTATTTCCATTATTAATTCACTCTCTAAAGTCCTCAAGTCTTGGATAAGTGACTCACAATATCTGAGCTTTAACAACAAAAGTATTTTAATAATAATAGCTGACATAATGTTTTAAAAGAGAAACTAGACAGATGAAAGCACTGCATAAAGAGTGAAGCATAATATAAATGATAATTAGTATTATCATTATATTTTTATATATTTTACAAACAGCTATAAACTTTCCTTTCCCATTCAATAATGCAACAAAAATGACAAGGAAAGAAACAAATACAGACAGACTGAGGAATCTAATTACTGAGACCTAATGAGAAATATATATAAACATTGTTTTGTAATGCATTCCATTATTGTCTCAATATGTATTATTCATGAATGAGTTAAAGAAAATGGGTTTTAATTCATCTAAGCTAAAAATATTTCAGGATTTTATGCACTATATTTAAGAAGGAATTTGCCAAACTGACTTAGTTTCTTATTGCTTTCATCAGTTGAAAAAAATAAGTTGGCCAAGTTATAATATTGATAGTAGTTATAAATAACATTCTGAACCTGAAAGAGACCAAAAGCATCAACTCTGCATATAAAAATGTTATCCCAAGTTTAGGATATGTATTTTATATTTCCTCTTAAGGATATTATAAATTGAAAATCTCTAGGGAAATACATAATTCATAAGTAATAAACTGAAAAGGAAAACAGGGATGATACATTCTTAAGTGTCTAGAATATACAATCAACCATTTTCCCCTGCAGTATTATACTTTAGAGAATATTTGCTTTGATACGCATCTCAAAACTCTAATGTATTAAACTTTAAAGAAACTGCAGAATCTACATGCTATTTAGAATGTAAAATTAGGAAATACTGTTTAATTTGGTGAAAAGCAAATTCTTTGTTGTTTAACTCAATTTAATTATCAAGAAATGCTAAGCATCTAAATCTTCTTTAAAGTAAGACATTTAAAAAAATGAAACATCATTTTAGTAGTCTAACCTACTTTTTCATGGTTTGAAAAATAATGTTTAAGTATTTTACTTATTCGTCTCTTAATAGAAGGATTGTAAAATATTGCTAATGTAAGCCTGATTAAAATTAAATATTGAACCTTTTTTAGGTACATCATAAGATATTTTTAAATAAAAATATCTGCAAGGCTAAAAATGAGAAAGTTTAATACTAAAATTCATTAAATAAAATATTAAATAATGTAAAACTATTAAACCACAGTAAGTCTTTGTAGCAGTGGCAACTATATAGCCACAGTTACTCTTTAGTATTTTAAAAAATGTTCTTAATCTTATTTCACACTTGCTATCTTATCAGAAAAAAATCTAATTATATCCTTTATATAATATTATTATTGTAGTTAGATTTTCTTCAGCTTTCCATACAAACTATTTATGTTTGCTCCATATTGAGAGTCTATCTATCCTCATAATGTATCTCCTTTGTGCAATTTACTCTCTCTGAAGACTCTCTGGAGGGTCAGGAAAAGTAAAAAAAAAAAAAAAAAGATAGCTATAGGGGAAAGAAAGAGTGAGGCACAGTGAATCAATGCATATACAATTAAATTATTTTTATCATTAAATATGAGAAATATTTTATTTTTAATATTTTAATAAGCTGGCTGATAGGAGAAGTGTACTATCTCACTATTGGAAATTTCCTTACAGTCTTATGCAATGGTTCAGACTGATGCCCGAATGATAAAGGGTAACAATAATAAATTTGAGCTAGAAGCTGGTCAAAGCACTTGAAGGAAAAGCCTTAAATTATAGCCACCTAGATTGTACAATAATGGTTTCCCATTTTAGACATTGTTTGGTGCAGCTCCTAGTTGAAAAAAAAGTTTTAGAAGCAGGAGTGGCATCCACTTTCTAAACCACATGCCTCTGCAAACTCTATGAACTTGGAAAAACAATGATAGCTATGGAAAGACATTGGATCTTTCATTCATACAGGCACTATGAGTCAACCTCAACTAAGCTCAATTAACAACAACAATATATTGTAAAATGTTACAACTACCCTGGAAGACAGTTTGATGCTTCCTCAAAAAGCTAAACATAGAAATTC